GCAGGAAGGCGGGCAGCCGGCGCGGACCGGTGGCTCCGAGGGACCCCGGCTTGCAGTCGCGTCGCCGGGGTTTCCCGGGGCTGGGAGGGCGCCGGCTCCCCTCCTCGCACGCCGTCACCGCGAGCGACGTCTCGGCCTCGCCGCGCACGGAGGGGACGCGCGGAGGGGCTGGTTTCTGGGAGAGCCGAGAGCTTTGCCCACTGAGCTGCAGCAAGAAGCCAAATCAAAAAGCCAATCTCTGCGCCTCCACGCCGAACGTCACCCTATCAGCTGGGAGAGGGCGCGCTGCGCCGAATGACAAGCCGCGCGTATTTATCCTCGCCCGCCCGTGGGGGGAATTTTCAGATCGCTTCCCGGCCGGCAGTGTGCAAGTCGAGCCCGCACCTCGTTGAGTCCGGAGAGACCCGAGGACGAATGCAGACACAACCCCTCGCCCGCGGCCACCCACCCCACCGTCGGAGCCTGGCGCCCCGCTCCTCCGGGCCAGCGATACCTCCAAGACGGCGGCGCGTCCTGACCTGGATTCCGCCGAGTCCGGAGCTCCGGGCAGCAGGCAGGGCGGGCGGGCCACGGGCGCGCGGCACCGGCTTTCCCCTTGTCCTTAGGAGACGCCGTCTGCAATTCCGAAATTGAGTTTCCACCAAACATTTGTGGTTTTTAAATATAGCAGGGGGACGACTACCCAGGCAGGGTCCACCCAGGCCTAGGGGAGGAGTTGAGGACGATGGAGGTTGGCAGTGGAGGGAAAATAAAACTCCTTGTCACCCACCCACCCCCCTTTTTTTTCTGCTGCTCTTGGTGCAGAACTCAGTCTGTCATTTTCTCAACCCAAATCAAACAACAGCTTGTGAGAGACGCTTGGGTGAGCGCTGGTATGTTTTGGTTTTGGGTTTTTAAGGCTAAAAATAAGAGGGGGCTGTCTCCCAAATTGCTGCTTACTCTGAGCCTGGAGCCTGGAAGAGAGATGGTCCTTTGATGCAGCAGCAGAACTAGGGTTTGGGGCTTGGCTCGGGCGAAGTGTACACATGTAGCCTTAAATCAGATGCCTGTAATTTCTGCTATATTTGTCAGGCTTGGTCCTGGAGGCATGAGGGGCGGGCAGGCCTCTCCTAAGAATGGGGTTTCACATCCCTAGTATATCTGACGGCGTTGCACAGATCTAAAATGGTCATGGTGGCTGGCCTTTTGTAGAGACATCAATGCAGAATCTGGGACAGAATATGAGTGGGATGTTGTTTCTCTCAGGCCTCTGCTGCCCAAAGCCAAGTGTGCGGGGCCAACAAATAACCAATTATCAGCACCTCTTTAGGGCCAGGTGCTTTGCTACTGAATTTATTCAACTACGGCTAAAGGCAGAGTGACTTGTGCGTGTTCTTTGAGTTCTAGGTAGACTGAAATAACAAAACCCAGGTCAACATTCTGAGCCTCTGTGTCCTCACCAGTAAAATGCAAGTAATAATATCCACCTCGAGGAGTTGTGAAGATTCGGTGAGATTACAGTCTGGTATAGAGTAATTCCCAAATATGTTAATTCTCTTTCTCCTCCCAACCCTGCTTCTCTCCCACTGGAAGTTCTACAGCCGACTTTCTCCTGTGAACACTACGTGGAGTTCCGCATTTATTTCCTCCTCCCTACTACATGCATGCAGGGTTGATCACAGTTGGCCTTCAATTTCTGCCATTATTCATTCCCTTATTTCTGGTTGTGCTAGAACTCAAGAGGATTTTCACGGAAAAGCAGCAAGCAAAGTATTGATGGTCAGCATTCGGAGCAAGAGCCACAAACTTCATTTTAAGCTGGGAGGACGCTGACGCGCAAAGAAGGGAGGGGATTCGATCCAATCACAGAACCCTACAAGGGATAGAATCTGTTATGGGCTGAACTGTGCTGCCCATCCCCACCCACCCCCACCCCCACCGCAAATGTGTATGTTGAAGTGGTAACCTGCAGTACCTCAAGAAAGTGACTGCAAAGAGGTAATTAAGTTAAAGTGGGGTAGTTATGGTGAGCCCTAACTGAATGACTGGTGTCCACACAGACGGACGACCATGTGAAAATAAAGCAGGAAGTCAGCATCTGCAAGCTGAGGAGAGAGGCTTGAGAAGAAACCAAACCTGCTGGTTCCTTGAGCTCGGACTTCTAGCCTCCAGAGTGTGAGAGAATAAGTTTCTGTTTTTAAGCCACCCAGTCAGTGGTAATTTCTTATGGCAGCCCTAGCAGGCTAATACAGAATCCAAGTATTCTGGCTGAGTCTATGAGTCCTTATTAGATTCCAACTTCAAGGAGTTACCTAGGGTTATTTGGAATCTTGAAACATGCTGGATTTTATAATTTGACAAAAAGGAAGCAAGGAAACCAGCTTTTATTAAATGCCTTCTATGACCCTGTACTATGTGTTGCTGTTGTTGTTTTTAATACATTTTTATTGATTTCAAAGAGGAATGGAAAGGCAGAGAGAGATAGAAACATCAGTGATGAGAGAGAATCATTGATCGGCTGCCTCCTGCATGCCCCTTACTGGGGATCGAGCCCACAATCAGGCACATGCCCTTGCCTGGAATCAAACCTGGGACCCTTCAGTCTGCAGGCCAGCACTCTATCCACTGAGCCAAATCAGCTAGGGCTCTACTATGTTTTTATGTGTGTTATTTCACTCAACAAATACATATTTGTGGAACACTTTCTATGTGCCAAATACTATTCTAGTGTGGGGATAAAACTGAATAATGAAGATAAAAATCCCTGCCCTCATGGAACCTATATTTTTAAATCTTTTTAACATTCTAGAGCTCTTACCATTTGCAACAGCATAAATGGACCTGGAGAGTATTATGCAAAGCAAAATAAGCCAGTCAGAGAAAGATAAGTATCACATGATCTCACTCATATATGTGAAATCTAATGAACAAAACAAACTGATGAACAAAATAGATCCAAAGACATAGTAGCATGGAACAGACTGACGAATTTCAGAGGGAAGGTGGGGGTGGGGCATTGGGTTGGGAGTGATTAACAGGAAACTTATCCTATATAATAAAAGCCTAATATGCTAAGTGTCCAGTCATCTGTTCAACCAATCAAAGCATAATATGCTAATGATATGCTAAGGCCAATCAACCTCTCGCTGTGACTGTACACTGACCACCAGGGGGCAGACAGTTGACCGGTCACTATGACATGCACTGACCACTCTCCGACCAGTAGGTTAGCTTGCTGCTGAGGTCAGGCCAGTTAGGACTGAGGGAGAAGGGCCAGACACGCCCTGGAGTCCTCCTAAGGCCCCTCCCCCCAGCCGGCCCCGCCCCCTATGTGCCCCCATCAGGGTGGGTCAGTCAGACCCCTCCCATGCATGAATTCATGCACTGGGCCTCTAGTATGCATATATGAACACAGACAATAGAGGCCTGAGAAGGGCAGGTGTCGGGTGGGGGGGGATGTCAATGGGGGGAAAAAAAGGGGGACATCTGCAATACTTTCAATAATAAAGAAAAAAATATATGTATTTTTAAAATTCTATTTATTAAAATGAACTTTTTAAAAAAGTATTTTACTTTTGTATCCAGTTACCTTATTCAACTATTTAAATAATAGCCTAACATTTATGGAAAACTAACAAAGGGCTAGACATTGTTCTAAGTATTTTATGTATAGCTCATTTAATTCTCATAATATCCCTATAAAATAGATACTATTATATCAGTTCTATAGATGAGAAAAGTGAAACAAAGTAGAATTTCTTAGATTCTTTTGCTAGAAAAACAATCTTCTAATCTGAAAATAAAAATTTTACTATTTACCAATATTTATAGTAATTTTTCATTTTATTTTTTTATATTGGCTAAAACTTATAAACCAATATTGAATAACAGAAAAAATAGGCATCTTTGTCTATAAAATATAAAAGGACTTAATGTGCAAGTACATTCCATTTGTGCAAGTATCTTCCATCCTTAAAGAAATCCTTACTCCATGCCCTAACCAGTTTGGCTCAGTGGATAGAGCGTCAGCCTGCGGGCTGAAGGGTCCCAGGTTCGATTCCGGTCAAGAGCATGTACCTTGGTTTCGGGCACATTCCCAGTAGGGGGCGTGCAGGAGGCAGCTGATCGATGTTTCTCTCTCATTGATGTTTCTAACTCTCTATCTCTCTCCCTTCCTCTCTGTAAAAAATCAATAAAAAAATTTTTTTTTAAAAGAAATCCTTACTCTAGCCCACAACCCCGTCAGGATTTCTTCCCTCTATAAGTAATGGGGTATTCAACAACAGTAGTTTAAAACCGTAAGTCCAAAAGAAAGTGATCTCAGGGTAATTCAGCAATTCAGTAAAGTCATCCAGGATGTAAGATATTTCTATTCAACTGTCCCTGGCATGTTGACGTTTCCCCTCATGCTTGTACTAGTAAGCTCCAGAGTTGGTAAGAGGTTATAATGCAGGACTGACTACCTGTTCCATTTTGTTGAGGGAGAAAAACTTTTCACACACCTGAATTAAGTATCGTGGGTGAATTAGGCCCCACAGGAGGTTCTGCCATTGTGGGCTTCTCCGGGTCACTGACCTTGGACACTAGTTATAGTCTCTGAGGTTCAGAGGTGAGGTCCAAATGGGGAAGAGCGGGTTTCAGTTATGATGAAGTACACAAAGGAAGAAACCCCTGCCACTTGCAACAACATGGATGAACCTGGAGGCCATGCTAAATGAAATAAGCCACACACAGAAAGACAAATACTGTATCTTATATAGAGAATCTAAAGAAGTCAAACTCATAGGACCAGAAAGTAGAATAGTGGTTGCCAGGGGGTGTGAGGTGGAGGAAATGGGGAGATGTTGGTCAAGGGGTGCTTTCAGTTGTAAGATTACTAAGTTCTGGGAGTCCAATGCATGGAATGATGACTACAGTTAATATTGTATACTTAAAATTTGCTGAGAGTAGATATTAAGTGTTCTCACCACAAAAATATATACATATATTAAGTCATCACATTGTACACCTTAAAAGAATAATGCTGTACAACCTAAATATATGCAAATTTTATTTGTCAATCAAACCTCAGTAAAGCTGGCAAAAAAAGAACACGGGGAAACACCCGGGAAAGGCTGAGGCTCTAGGGGGATTCCCCAGGGGGAGGCTGAAGGAAACGAAGTAGACACGAATACAATTAAGTCTGGCAGTGATCACGATGAGGGAGGGACACAAAAGGGAAAAACGGATTCAACGTCAGATTCAGAGTTACTGCAACTTAGTGATGGGAGGTAAAGCGGCTGCGAGCTCGCCTTCTCAAGTGAGTTGAGGGGGACGATTTGTTCCTTCATTGATGACACAATTATTCACTGAAAGGCGACTACACACGCCAGTGTCCGGGTGTGGAGATTCAGCAGTGAACAAGACAAAGTTGCTGCTCTCGTGCTTCTGTGTCCAAGGGAGATAATCAACAAGTAAACTTAGGTGTACTTTTATAAAACTTGTGATGAGAATAAGTGACACAAAGAAAACTCAAGCCAGATGGAAGGCTGTGGTGGGCATGTTTTAGCAATCTAGATTGAATTCTCTGAGAAGGTCTCTCAGAGGTTAACATTTGACATCAGTGGAGTGGAGTGAGCCACGTGCAGACGTGGGGGCAGAGGAGCAGTTGGAGGAATGAGAAGAGCCTAGAGAATGATGGGAGAGAGCGGAAGGAGACAGCGAGGGAGAACCTGCTGCTGCGGCAGCTGGAGAAGCCAGGCCGCCTGGAGTCCCGGAGGCTTTTAGCTTGATTTCATCTTCTTTGGGTACCTTCTGCCTCAGATACGGTATCATTCTTCCTCTTGGTGTAAGCAGTCCTCTTCCTAATGAAGGGCCGTTTCCTTGGGTAGGTGGATGGGTGGGGGGTGTTCTCTGTTGCCCACCAGCAAAGTACTTTGTATATTGCATATTTGTTTGCCTATAGTTTAGAAGTCAACAGAGCTATAAATAACAAGTCTGACCCTGGTCAGCTGGCTCAGTTGGAGCATCCTCCCGTACGCCTGTTGCGGGTTCGATTCCCCATCAGGGCACATACCTAGATTGTGGGTTCGATGTCTGGTAGGGGCACATACAGGAACAACCAATAATCTTTCTCTCTCACGTCGATGTTTTTTTCTCTCTCTCACCCTCCCCCTCTTTCTGAAAAATCAATAAAAACATAGCCTTGGTGAGAATGAAAAAATAAAAATAACAAAATCTCAGTGGAGCACCAAGATTAATCTGCAAAGTTCTACATTGAGCCAGGAGCAGCAGGGAGCCAGACAGAACAGCCCCAAACACCCTGGGCAGTCTCTTCCCTGAGAAGTCATCACAAAACTTATGATCCTGATCTATTGATTAATCTCTGTTTCACCAGTAGAAATGCACTTCTTGATGAAAAGAAGACAGCACTTGAAAGGTTTGCTCCTCTCAGGATGGTGAACAGTATGTACCAGCTGTTGTAACTGCATCTTCTTCTGTGTCACTGATTTTTTAAAAAAAGAGGGGGAAAAGAACATTCACATAATTATGAAAGCAATATTTATTGTTGGGAAATTAGACATTCAGAAAGGTATAAAGAAAAATTATCCAAATATCACCACCTGGAAGTAACTATTATTAAGGTTCTAATTTTAAATAATTACACACCTAATATATATTTGTGTATACCTGGGGTCATTTTGTATCCTAATTTTAAATTAGCATTATTTAATAATCACTTTCCCACTGACACTACCTTTTAATTCCACAAGCTGGACTGTAGGCTCTAATGACACCAAGGGAAACAGTGCAGAGAGGGTATGGCTCGCGAAGTCCAAGCTTACCTCCCATGTGGTTGCTTTCTGAGGTAAACACCACCATGCTACAAGCTTGGCAGCTTCTTGGCTCTCCTCTCCAATTTATAAGAGGGTATCATACAAAGAGGATAGGGGAGACTCAGAGACCTAAAAAGAGCAGATTATTTTATGTGTTGTGTAGCAGTTGATCAGACTTGTTTCAATGCGTAACACATTGTTGAGGAACACACACGTACACTTCCACACAAATGGTATTTAAAAAATTTTTTTGACTGCCCATATCATTGCACACACATCCTGACTTTTGCCCTAACAAGTGGGCCTTTCTAACTAGGGAAATAGGCTGATTCCTGCTCTTAAGAGATAAGGGGAGCTGTCTTCAGCAAAGATACTATCAGATAGTTCTCTGCCTGACTTAGAACTACAACTTCAGTTGCCTCCTTATATTCGGTCCAGCTCATCTTCCTAATGGTACTTGTAATGAGTTTAGCCAATGGAGGGTTTTAATTGGCTTTTGTATTCCTACAATTTGGTGTCTTTGTTATTTCATTCTCATCATAGCCAAGTCTAAAGAAGCCAATCATAGACCAAGGTCACTACTTGGCCAGCCGTAATCATAGCATATAGGTAACTTCATTGTTCTTTCTTACTTATCGGAGCACAGTATCATATGACATACCATATCACATGAGCTGCTTGTCCCACAGACATTTCTCCTTTTTTGGGCCTTGGCCACTGTAAGAGTGTAAGATAAAAAATAAAACAACTGAACAGCAAACTGTGTGGGGCGACCAGGCTGGCGGGGGGGAGCAGTGAGGGGTGACCAGGCCAGCATGGGGGTGGGGGGGTAGTGAGGTGCGACCAGGCCAGCAGGCAGAGGCGGTTAGGGATGATGAGGTCAGCAGGAGGGCAGTTAAGGTCGATCAGGCAGGCAGGCAGAGGCTATTAGGGGTGATCAGGCAGGCAGGCAGGTGAGCGGTTAGGAGCCAGTGGTCCCCGGATTGTGAGAGGGATGTCCAACTTCTGGTTTAGGCCCAATCCCCTGAGGGGTCCCGGATTGGAGAGGGTGCAGGCTGGGCTGAGGGAACCCCTCCCCGCCCCCCCCCCCCCGCCCCCGCCATGCACGAATTTCATGTACCGGGCCTCTAGTACAGTATAGGAACAGAGAGTTACATTCATGAATAGAGACTTCTCAAAGAACTTGGGACCGGCACTGAGGAAAGAGCATGGAGTTTAGCTTGAGCATGCATCCATCTCAAAGCAGATGGTACAAACTGTGCATTTTCAGGATCAAAGAAAATTTGAAGTATCTCTTGATTTCAGCTACTTTATAACTAAACATTTTAATTTCCATCAATTTTTAGTGAATGATTACTCATTTTACAAATTCATTCACTAACAGTTTCAAATGGTCATCTTTCTTACTCACCTAACATACATTTGGATCTATAAAAAATTGAATTATGTTATCTCTTCAGGAATATGGCATTAGAGAAAGTTCCTGAACTTTGAAGTCTGACCAGAAAGAATTTAAATTTTCTGCTCTTAACCATTTATGACCTTAACCATCTACTACTTTATTTCTTTGAGCCTCATTTCATAAACAAGGATAATAATACAGCACAAATGGCTGTTGGGTGATTTAAGTAAAGAATGTAAAGTACAAGACACATAGTAGATATTATAAGTAATAGTCTTTGTGTCAATTAAGCTCTAACTGGAAATAAACGGAACATTTAAATTAGGATATTTTAAGATTTTCTTTCTTACAAATGGATTATTTCCAAAGGTGGGCAAGACTTAAAACTACATCTAAAAAAAAAAAAAATCCCAAGGTAAACAAATAAACCTGCTCTCCAAATTTAATGTATAAGAGTGTTTATAACATCACTAGTGGCCCGGTGCATGAAATTCATGCATGGAGGGGGCGTTCCCTCAGCCGAGCCTCACCTTCTCCAATTGGGGACCCCCTGTGGGATCGGGCCTAAACTGGCAGTTGGACATCCCTCTCAAAATCTGGGACTGCTGGCTCCTAACCGCTCACCTGCCTGCCTGCCTGATTGCCCCTAACCCCTCTGCCTGCCTGCCTGATCACCCCTAACTGCCCTCCCCTGCCAGCCTGATCTTGCCACCAACTGCCCTCCTCTGCAGGCCAATTTGGTTGATTGGTTGGTCTCTATGCCAGTCAGCATCTAAAGCTCCGCCTCCTAGGCAGCCATTGGCTCCTCACAGTTGACCCAGATTTGGTTCTGATTGGTCGGTTTCTATGCCAGTCAGTGTCTCTGGGCCTATCAACGGGGCCTGATCAGAAAGGCAGGGCTGATCAGCAGCCGGGTGGAGGCCTGGAGAGAAATGGAGGCATGGCTGCTGGCCAGACTGGGAGAGAAAGAGAGAGGCAGTGCTGATCAAAAGCTGCCACAGAGGCAACAGATCAGTCCCTGCTTCTCTCTTCAGGCCTCTCTCTGGCCCTGATTTGCAGCCCCCTCAGCAGTCAGGACTGCAGGACTGACTTCCGGTTGGTCGAGCCTCGGTCGTTACTGGTTGTTATGACCCAGGATTTTTAAATAGGATTATTGTCTTAGGGAGTCTCGGAAAACAATCCAGATGTCAAGTATAGGCAACTGCTACATTCATATAGCAAAATACAATAAACCAGTAAAAACAATATTGTAAAAGTATTGACATCAAATATATTAGTAATACAGTGCTAAGTGAAAAGAGCTGATTTTAAGATATTATGGAGAGTAGACTCTCTTCTGCTAAAATTATATGTACATTATATTTATAATCTAAATTTGTATCTAGATATGATTATTTAAAGCCAGGCTTTAGGATTCTTTTGGAATCTTTTATAAATTGCCAACTTTTTTCCAGTCCTGACTTAGAGTTGATTTTACCTTTATTTGGGGGGGGGGGGGGCGGTGGAGTGGGGGGAATCACTCTTCACCTGATTCAGATGATTTAGATTGAGTGGCCAGCATTGTGTTTAGTGATGGGACTTCTCAAGTGTATTTGAATTAGAAATGTCTGAGATGCTGTAACTTCTTTGGAATGAGGTTCATGGTGCAGGTGGGAAAATGCTGTTGACTGCTTGTGTGAATTTAGAGAGCACTACCTTGCAAGTGTTGCTTGTTCCTTTTTGGTTAATTATGTGCCGGGTATCTAGAGCCAGGAAACTGAAAACTGCAGGAAGGATGTGAGGCAGGATCTTCCCTTTAGAATAGAGACTATAAAAAGTAATTGGACTGGCTACACTTTAGCTCAACATGGGCTGGATGATTGATGTCCCTGTGCAGAATTGCTTAGGGCAGAATAACCCAGAAAGCACAGCTGCTCTCTTGTTATGATCTGATCTGATTGTCTGATTTAATCTATCTAATGGTGGAGGGATGGAGTTCTGTCTACAGCAAGGGATGCAAACTGAAGTGCTTACATTGTAGTAATAATTATAGTAGGAAGCACTTATATATGCCAAAGAGTGTTCTAAGGATTTACTTGGGTTATTACTTTAAATCCTCAAAAATCCCTCTGAAGAAGATAGTATTATTACTACCTCAATATTATAAACTAAAGAAACCTATACACAGAGAGGTTAAGTAACTTGTCCAAGGTTACAGAGCCAGAAGTATCTAGGGAAAGAAGTTGGAAAACAACACTTTACTAGTGAGTGTTGGTAACTGCTGATAGCCTTTGACCATTTCCTGAATTCAGAAAAGAATTTGTATGTTGCAAACAGGAATAAAGACCATAGAAAATATAAAAATCCATGGACTTTCAGAGATGAAAAAAAAATCCACCACTACCTTACCTCCCCAAAATGTAAAAATTAAGTGTAATAAAATCTTTGGGTAACAAAAGCTAATTATAACACAATTTGGAGGCAGAGGTCAAATTAAAGGTGTGCCCATTATAACTTTGTGAAAACCATTAAATGGATTAAGGACTTCGGGGCAAAAAGCCAATTAGGGTGTGGTACCAAAAAATTGCTTATTCGGATAAAACAACTTATGTATCTTCCCCAGTGACCTCTAATAGACCCAAGTTACTTGGTATTAAAGGGAGTGGAGTGTAGAATATATGTATGTGAGAAAAGAGAAATATAACACCCTAAGAAAGTACATCTTATAAAAACTATGGATATGGATCTGGCACATACAGCTGATTGGAATAAAATAGATAGGAAGTCTATTGAGTTTTGGGTAGTTTTATTATCAGAGGAAGTAGGGCAAGAAAAGCACTAAGAAAACCACATGATCCAAAAGGAGGTTCTGTTGCCCTCTATTTCAGATGTGGCCAAGAAGGACAAAGGAAAAGGAAAATATTTCCAGAAGGTAGAGTCAGGGCCACAAAGAACAATGGAAAAAGAAATCCCTCAACTCTCTGTAGAGTAGGCTGAATTAAGGAACATTCCTCATCTCAAATATGGAGGGCTTTAACAATATTTGCCCACCAAAATTTCAAAATTGCTATGGAACAAATGCAGGATAGCCTTACAGAATCTAAGATTTACTTCTCACTCACATTGCATGCCAGTCTTCAATCTGGGACCAAGACCCAAGGAATTGCTTCAGTCTGAACCACCACATTACTGTAGCAGAGAGCAACTCAGAACAACAACGTGACTCAGAAGTAGCACATTTAATTATACTCACTTTTAATTGCTAAAAGAGAAATCAATCAATTACATGGCCAAGCCTATTAATGGACTTAGATATTAATGAGGTCAGAAGTATAGGGCTTATAGAAGAGAGAACCAAGATGGCGGCATAGATTGCTGCCTTGAACAACCAAATCAAAACACACCTAAAAGATGGAACGGACATCATCCAGAACCACAGGAAGGCTGGCTGAGTGGAAATTCTACAACTAGGAGGAAAGAGAATATCATACCCAGACTCAGAGGAGGCGCAGTGCTGAAGTGAAATACTCAGGTACGGAGTGTGCGCGGAGCGGGCTGGCGGTGGAGGGCGCGGTTGGTGCTTTCAATCGGGAGGGAGTCTCAGATTCTGAGCTCCAGATCCTGGCGAGTCTCTAGGGACCCAGACTCAAACGGGAGAAGCGGGACTGTCTGTCTTCAGTCGGAACTCGAAGGCAGCTTTCTCTCCGAGGTTTGCAGCGGTTGCTGGGACTCTATGAGGCAGAGCCCCTAGGAACGGAACTAAGAGCCGCCATAACTGCTCTCTCCGGGCCGCCCTGTTGATCCCGAGCCCGAGCGACCCACCCGCCCCGCCCAAGCCCTGCACAGAGCCATTTGCCAGATAGCCTCAGGCAAAGGCTAGATTAGCACCTCCCTAGAGGACAGAAGTTTTCCCACTGCAGACACAGCTGATTCTCACAGCCAGCTAGCCTGGAGGTCAAATCCCCCCAGTATTAACTACAACAATCAAGGCTTAACTACAGGAGGACTGCACACAAAGACCACTAGGGGGTGCACCAAGAAAGCATAAAAAATGCAGAGACAAAGAAACAGGACAAAACTGTCAATGGAGGATATTCAGTTCAGAACCACACTTTTAAGGTCTCTCAAGAACTGTCTAGAAGCCGCTGATAAACTTAATGAGATCCTCAACAAATCTAATGAGACCCTCGATGTTATGATAAAGAACCAACTAGAAATTAAACATACACAGACTGAAATAACGAATATTATAGAGACTCCCAACAGCAGACCAGAGGACTGCAAGAATCAAGGCAAAGATTCGAAATGCGAAGAAGCTAAAAACACCCAACCGGAAAAGCAAAATGAAAAAAGAATCCGAAAATACGAAGATAGTGTAAGGAGCCTCTGGGACAGCTTCAAGCGTACCAACATCAGAATTATAGGGGTGCCAGAAGATGAGAGAGAGCAAGATATTGAAAACCTGTTTGAAGAAATAATGACAGAAAACTTCCCCTACCTGGTGAAAGAAATAGACTTACAAGTCCAGGAAGCACGGAGAACCCCAAACAAAAGGAATCCAAAGAGGACCACACCAAGACACATCATAATTAAAATGCCAAGAGCAAAAGACAAAGAGAGACTCTTAAGAGCAGCAAGAGAAAGAAACTCAGTTACCTACAAGGGAGTACCCATACGACTGTCAGCTGATTTCTCAACAGAAACTTTGCAGGCCAGAAGGGAATGGCAAGAAATATTCAAAGTGATGAATACCAAGAACATACAACCAAGATTACTTTATCCAGCAAAGCTATCATTCAGAACTGAAGGTCAGATAAAGAGCTTCACTGATAAGGAAAAGCTAAAGGAGTTCATCACCACCAAACCAGTATTATATGAAATGCTGAAAGGTATCCTTTAAGAAGAGGAAGAAGAAGAAAAAGGTAAAGATACAAATTATGAACAACAAACATGCATCTATCAACAAGTGAATCTAAGAATCAAGTGAATAAATAATCTGGTGATCATAATAGAATCAGGGACATAGAAAGGGAATGGACTGACTATTCTTGGGGGGAAAGGGGTGTGGGAGATGCGGGAAGAGACTGGACAAAAATCGTGCACCTATGGATGAGGACATTGGGTGGAGAGTGAGGGCGGATGGTGGGGCGGGAACTGGGAGGAGGGGAGTTATGGGGGGAAAAAAGAGGAACAAATGTAATAATCTGAACAATTAAGATTTAATTAAGAAAAAAAAAAAGAAGTATAATACTTTAACAGGAACAGGCCTAGAAGAGAGGGGCCTTGTAAGGAGGAACTATTAGGAAAGGTCAGTGAATATTTTTATAATAAAATAATTACCATATCAAATGTAAAACTGATCCTAATAAATGGAATTTGTCTAAACTATCTAATTAGAAGTCAAAGATTGTCAGACTGGATTAAAAATAATCCAACTCTAGGTTCTTTGTAAGTGCCTCACCCAAAACATTTGAACAGAGAAAGTCTAAAAGTCAAGGCATGGGGAAAACAGACTAAGAAAATACTAAACTAAGGAAATCTTGTATAACTATACTAATATCATACAAAATATGAGATTTTAAAGCAAAAAAGTATTTCTAGCAATAAAGATGGCCACTACATAAAAATAAAAACTTCAATTCATCAGGAAAATATAGCAGTTCTAAACTTATGCTCTTAATAACATAGTCTCATAATATATGAACAAAGTTACCATCTTAAAAGAAGATTTTAACTTAATTTCCTCACAGTAAATTTTTAAAAACCCAAAAATAAGGATATAAAAAAAATCTACAGAACACAACTAACAAGCTTAATGAAAAAAATAAGTATAGAACACCACCCTCAACAGCGGCAGAATATACATTCTTTTCAAGCACAAAATATTTATGGTAGTTCATAAAACAAATCTCAATAAATTTCAAGGAATTCATATCATACAGAACACTTACTTGACAATCATAAAATTAAGTTAAAAAACAGTAACAACAGACAAGTAGAAATACCGCCATGTATTTGGAAATTTTATTTTATTTGTAGGTTAAAAAGATGTCATAATGAAAATCAGAAACTTCTTAGAGCTGAATGATAAAGTCAAATTCAGTACTTGTGAGATACTGCTAAAGTCTTATTTTGAGGAAAATGAATAATTATATATTCCTAAGTAAGTACAAAAGAGGCTCAACATTAATGAACTAAGCATTCCATCTTTAGACATTAGGGGGAAAATAGAATAAACTTTACAAAAGCAGAAAAGATATAATCAAGTTTTGAAAGGGAGAAATAACATAATTACATGAGATATCTTGGGCCAAACACAATCATGGGCTGCATGTTTTAGATCAATCAGCATATCAACAGCATCTTTTACAGTCCACCCTCATAACTATACTTACAAAAAAGAAAATTGCAAGGGAATGAGGGGAAACCACAGAGGCCAAGGGAAGAAGCAAAGCAAGAGTGTGGTTTCAGCTCAGTGTAGCCCAAGCATGTCAAACCCAAAGGCTAACATGGACCAAATAAACAAGGTTTTAGTTTATGTGGGCCACAAAAAAACAAAAGCTTCAATTTTCATAGAAACGTAGGTTTATTTCGATAGAGACATGCTGAATACAAAGGGCTGAAATAAATGAGTAATCGTTAACATAAAATAATAGAACATTTTAATAAAAATTAATATTTTTTCTTGAACATTAACTTACCAGACACTGAATAACTGCACAAATTAATAAGCATAACGCAAATAAACCTATTTTTCCTGTTCTCTGAAAGTGAAATATTTCCTGTTGCGCACACCAAACAAGTCAGTCCAAGACTAATGATGTGGCAATCAGCTGCTAAAATATTCGCTGCTAGTATTAGTGGAAATGGTGCACCTGCACATAAAGCACATAAGGGAAATGAATGCAACACGATTATAGTAATCAGTCATTAGCAAACGTTGTAGTTCATTATTAATAATTATGTATAACAGGATATTGCAAAAATTATGAAATTTTTATTAAAATGTTTCTTACAGCCCTAGCTGGTTTGGCTCAGTGGATAGAGCATCGGCCTGTGGACTGAAGGGTCCCAGGTTCAATTCCAGTCAAGGGCACATGCCCGGGTTGCAGGCTCGATCCCCAGTAGGAGGTGTGTAGGAGGCAACCAATCAATGATTCTCTCTCATCATTGATGTTTCTATCTCTCTTTCCCTCTCCCTTCCTCTCTGAAATCAATAAAAATACATTTTTAAAAAAATAAAAAAAATAAAATGTTTCTTACATACCGTGATATTGGCTAGGCCGCAAAAATATTCATTGTGGGCTGCATGCGGCCCACAGGCTGCAAGTTTGACATGCTTGGTGTAGCCTCAGCCTGAAATCTCCAGGAGCTCTAATGCATATACCACACCACAGTCTTGGCACATTGCAACAAGTAAGTGAGGCTTTTGTACCTCCATATCAGGCATAAGGCAGTCACTGTTTACTGACTGTTACAGGGATGAGTGGTGCATAATTTCCAGACACCTCCTGGTGATGTTGCTCCAATCTACTAAGGGCAAGCCTCCAGAAATTGTTGCAGGTGTGAGCCATTAGTAGCAGCACGCGAGGCACCTGGAGAAGAGTGGGCACACAGAATCATTATAATGAGACGCAAGAGATCTGGACAGAGCATCAACATTGTCTGCTCTGCTCCACCCCTTCTACCACTCAGGTCCACTTGCTTTGCACATTAGGTTCACTCCATTCTTTTACAACTTCTCCAGGATTCTGGTTAATCACAATTTGAAAGAAGCCATAGACAATATGTAGATGATGAGTGTGGTTACGTTCCAATAAAAAGTTTGTAAAATAGCAGCAAGCCAGGTTTGGCCTCTCAATCAAAGTTTGCTAACCTCTGCTTTAACCTACACACTGTATCTGGAAGGATAGTGCTCCATCTTTGTAGGATATCATCTCCAAGCTGTTGCTTCAGTTGTGTTTCTTAGAGGCCATTCCATTCATCTATCAGGCTAGCAGCATATGAATGATGTGGAATGTAGCAGCACCAGTGAATCACACAGGCATGTGCCCACTACTGAATCTTTTTTCATAAATTCAGTCCCTTGATCTGAAGTGACAGTATGTGGAAGATCACATGTCAGTGAATCAGATGCTCTGAGAGCCCCTGAGTAGAGGTGCTGACCACTTCAAAGCAGATATGAAAGGTAAACTCACACTTAGAAAATATGTCAATCTTATTCAAAATGAATTGCTGTCCTTTCCAGGGTGCAAGGGGTCTTATGTTATCAAGTGCCACTAAGTGGCTGGTTGATCTCAAGGATTCATGCCTGATCAAAGGCTTAGTATCAGACTCTGTTGTTGGCAGGTATGGTGGCAGTGGTAGCCACCATACCTGCTTTGGTGAGGGATCCCATGCTTTTGTGCTCATGTATTGCCTTTATCTCTGCCATCATGGCTCCTCAATTCATGAGTCATTAATCAGCACTATGGTAACCAGTGAGTGCGGCTGGTTGACATCTCCACTGCAACTCTCCTTCTGATGCTTTCTAGAGATCCCACAAGATGTCTTAACCACAGATATTTCTAGGATCACCATAGGATCATTTAAGTAAGTGTCTTCTAGTGAAGCAATTTCAATTGAAGAGGGGCGAGTCGCCCGAGAACCATGAGAGTATGACCTGTTAGCAACATCACTGGCAGCAGCTGGGGGGTGGGTATACCAAACTGACAAAAAGGACCCCAGGAGATCTGGGTGGGGCACCAATAGCGTCTGATCGCTCCTAACCACTCTGCCTGCCTGCCTGCCTGATCGACCCTAACCGCTCATCTGCCTGCCTGATTGCCCCTAACTGCCTCTGCCTTGGCCCCTGCTACCGTGGCTTTGTCCAGAAGGACATCCGGAATGATGTCCAGAAGGTCGTTCAGCTGTCCGGTCTAATTAGTATATTACACTTTTATTATTATAGAAGAGTAGGAATGGCCTTTAGTGTAGGAAGTATAGGTATCAAGCAATGGAATAAATGGCAGCAGTTCAGTGATTTGTTTGCCATGATCTCCTGCCCCTTTGTTATCCTAACATCCAGGCAAACATCAGAGCAGCCTATATACAGGGAATAATCAGTCAGGACCTAGACACCAAGACGGCTAGGTTTAGAAACCAGTCAGTCAGATAATTATCATGAAACTTCAGCTGCTTTTTCTGATCATTTTTTTTAAACAGCCTCGTTAAGATATAATTTACATACCATAACATTAATCTATTTTAAGTGTATAAATGAACTTTATATTTATAGTTGTACAAACACCCCCCCACACACAACCTAATTTTAGAATATTTCCATCACCTAAAAAGAAACCTCATGTTCACTTACAGCCATTTTCCAATCCCATTCCCAACCCTAGATAACACTAACCTATTTGCCTTTTTTGGACATTTAACATAAATAGAATACTACAATGTGTTTTTTTGTGGCTGGCTTTTTTTCACTGAGTATAATAATAGTTTTGTAGTCATCCATGTTGTAGCATGTGTCAGTAATTCATTCTTTTTTATTGACAAATGGTATTCCACTGTATACCATATTTTGTTTATCCATTTACCAGGTGATAGACATTTCGGTTGTTTCCACATTTTGGCTATTGTGAAAAATGCCACCATGATCATTTGTGTTCAAGTCTTTGTATGGTCGTATGTTTTCATGTTTATTGATGATCTTAGGGAAATTGGATTCAGGCACCTTGAGGAAGGAGAAGAGTATCCAGTCCTGGAAAAGTTAGGCTCAGGATTACTCTTCCAGCTGAACTGGGGAGAGGAAGTGTCCCCAGTCCCAACTGTTTCATTGTCAGGCAACCAAAGGGCACTTCAGGATCACCATCAGTCAATGTAGAGTATCTACAAAAAGTCTATATACTTACTTTATGGTAAACCTTCTTTTACACCATCAGGAACAAGACATTTCTATACAGCATTGTACTGAAGGTTTTAGCCCGTTAAAGGCAAGAAAAAGAGTTAAAAGATACAAGGCCTGGAAAGGAAGAATCGAAACTGTTATTATTTAGAAGGGCACCCTGGCCAATGTGGCTCAGTTGGTTGGGCATCATCCCGTGAAGCAAAAAGCTGCCGGTTCGATTCTCGGTCAGGGTACATGCCCAGGTTGCGGCTCGACCCCCAAGAGGGGACATGCAGGAGGCAGCCAATCCATGTTTCTCATTCTCCCTCTCCCTTCCTCTCTCTCCCTAAAATCAATTTTTTTAAATCTTAAAAAAATATTATTTAGAGATACAGAGAAAAGTCAAAATAATTTATAAATTATTGGAATGAGTTTTAGAAGTTTTGTAAACTGAATTTGGAAACAAAACTAAGATATACAAGTCAGTTTATTTTATATAACCATCAAAACATAACTTTTAAAATGTAAAACCTAATTTAGGAAAATACTACATCTACAATAGCATATAAAAATGAAGTAGCTAGAAATAAATCTAACCAAAAATATGCAAGCCCTTCCTGGGGAAAACGATAAGACTTTCTTTAAGGACAATGAAGATGACTTCTACAAATGGGGAGTTATGCCATATTTATATATAGGTAGATTGAAGACTGAAAAATATGTCAATTCTCCTCAAATTCTCCTCCTGAATTGACTTCTATATTCAATTCAATCCCATTAAAAGTGTAACAAGTTTTCGGTTGTTGTTTTGGTTTGTTGCGGTTTTTTTTGGTTAGTGGCTCAATAAGCTGGTTCTAAAATTTCTATAGAAGAACAAAGAACCAAGAATAGTTAGGAAACTCCTAAAGAAAAATAATAAAGTGCGATCAAGGCTTATAACTAAGCCACATTCACAAGCCCAAATTGTACTTGTACAGAAAGAGACAAAAATAGACGAATAAATCAGTCAGAATAGAGAACTCTGAAAACAGACCACATCTACAGCAGCATAACTTACAAATTTTTGACTTTTCAATGGTGTGAAAGTGAGACACATTCAGTAGAAACTGACTGAGCCTAAACTATGATGTTCAGTGGGTTAGGTGAATTAAATGCATTTTCAACTTGTGACAATTTCAACTTATATTGGGTTTATTGGGACATAATCCTATGGTAAATCAAAGAACATCTGAATATGCAAACTTGACTTATGAGAGAGGCAATAATATGGATCAGTGCTAGAAAAATTGTTTATCCAAACAGTCAAATATAAAATTGGAATGTCATCCTGGGCCAGTTTTGCTCAGTGGTTAGAGCATTGGCCTGTGGACCGAAGGGTCTCGGTTTGATTCTCAGTAAAGGGCACGTTCCTCAGTTGCAGGCTCGATCCCGGCCCCCCTGCTCCTCTACACCCCCCACCTCCAGGAGTTGGGCACCTGTGGGAGGCAACCAATCGATGCGTCTCTTTCACATCAATGTTTCTCTCTCCTCTTCCTCCCTCCCTTCCACTCTCTCTAAAAATCAATGAAAAAAATATATTTGGGTGAGGATTAACAACAACTAAAAAACTGGAATGTCAATTTTTACAGCCACTTTGGAAATCAATTTATCACCATTAAATAAAATTAAAACCGTGGCTACTGTATAATCCAGAAATTCTACTCTTGGGCAAACATGCTGGAGAAACACTTGCACATTTTCATCAGAGCTTATGTGCTCTTGTTCATGGCAATATTACATATAAGATCAAAACATAGAGAAAAAAATCAAATCTCTACTGAAAGAAAAATCCATAAGTTACTTGTAACATATTAATACAATGGACATACAACATAGTAGAGAAAATGAATGCATTCACCTACATGAATCAACATGAATAAAACTTTCAAAAGTAGTATTGAGAAGAAAAAGTACCCAAATAGTATGTACAGTGTGATTTCATCTATATTAGTTAATAAACATGCAAAACAAAACAATATGTAATGTAGGAATACTTACATCTATGATTAAAATGTAAAAATAAAATAAGGGACTGATAATCAAATAACCAAATATCCAGGGTAATTAATACCCTGATTAACTGGGGGATTGTTTATGGAGGGTGAGGCACGAAACCAGGGAAAAGCACTTCAAATATAGAGATAATGTTCTCTTTCTTAGTTTGGTGATAGGTCTAGTATTTTTAAGAAATTGCTACTTTTACACTTTAATCATAAAATATTCTTTTGTATACACTAAATATTTAATAAAAATCATTGCAGATACAGTGTAGAGATGGACCCTATTCAAGCCAAAGATCTCAAAATCTGGTTTCGATGTATACACACACACACACCAAGAATGTATGAAAAGTTGTATTACTCATATGAGAGCAGGGTGGCTCCCAAACAGGCCCAAAAAAGGCTTGAGAGAGCAGGAAAAGAAGATTAGCTTGGGGTTTTTATGGTGACCAGGGAGGGTGACTCGAACAAAGGGTCCCATGCATGGTTTAAACTTCCACAGACACAAAGATCACTTGGGCTTTCTTATCAGTGTGCCCATATGTGGGACAAAGCGGGGAAAGGGAAAGGTGAGGCTTAAAAGATGTCAGTCTAACATCAAAAAATAGAGTCACATTCTTTATTACAAAAATATTTTAAACAAAAATGTATAGGGAACAAAAGAATATCTGCCATTTAAAAA